AAATTGATGAAATTTTTTTTTAAAAACACATTATTTTTATATAATTTTATCTTTTTAGGAGGGAAAAAATAATTGTTTTATACTTAATTTTGTTAAATTAGTTTATATTTTTTCAAAAGTCAAATATGACAACAATTTTGTTGTCATTATTAAACCGATTCATTAAATTAAAAAATTCAAAACTAAAAATATGTTATATATTAAATATATCGATTATCCATTAAAATCCAAATTACCATTCATTATATGATAACCAAAAAAAAAAAAAAATTTGTTAACAATAAATACAACCATCTATCACATGATAACCATCCAAAAATGTCAACAAAAATAATCACCCATTACATGATCATCAGCCAAACACATACTAAAAATTAATTTGGTAAAAAATAAAAATATAAAAGATTTATCATATTTATATAATTTTATCTTTGGTGGGTAGAAATAATTTTTAAAAATTCAAAAATAATTTTTTGACATTTATTTTTATCAAACTAATTTATATTTTATTAAATTGACGACTTTGTCCTTAAAATGGAGCAATTGTGTTTTCAATTGTCTTTGTTTGAAACAAGATTCAAAATTCAACATTATTTGTTGCACAATTAAAAAGTAAAAATCAAAATGATACAAATCCCAAACTATACAGATTATTAGTGTAATTCCCTCTTAAATCTTTTAGAGAGTTTCGGTTTTCATCATTCTAGTTCTTTTTGTTTCATCATTCCTTTACTCAGGTTTCAACATCCATATCTCTTAGAAATTGGCCTCCTTTCTTTGATTGATGCTAGAGCTATTTCAATTTTGTCAATATTATATTTTAGCATGTTATAATGTTACACATATTTTAACAAATCCACGCCAGGAGTGCATATGTTATTATTTAGCATGATCAACATATAATTTAATTTCTATCATACGATACAGTCGTGTATACTTAGTTATATGTATTCACAATATTTTTAAATTTAACTTTCAATTTTAAAAAATCATATCCTAATTATTAATATTTATAAATAGTTCAATTCATGAATTTATTTCAAACTTAAATAAATTAATTAATTAATTAAAATACATAATCATGGAGAAGGAAAAAAAACAAAATCAAAGCTTGTTGAACATGTCAATTGTCTGGCACATATTTTCGTGCATGGACGGCGGACAGTGGAAGGACTGTGGTGTTGGAGTAAGGGAAACTCATCTGCCAAAGATTTCCACAGTGGCAGGACTGCGCTTTCTCTAGTCCGACAGAGTGAAGTAGTAGATAAGAGACAGCAAAGAAAGAGAAAATGGGGGGAACAGCCATTGTACATTCACAATTTAGCAGACAAAAAACAACTCCTGCAGTGGAGAGGAACGCTTTTCCCGGGCACTACTTCGGAAGAAATGCAGAACGTCTATCAAGCGTTACGCTTTATCGGTCATAAGCTAAAAGGAACGCGGAACCTTCACACATCTCAATAGACCACACGCTTTCAGGGCACTACTCCGGAAGGAATGAGGAACCTCTATCGAGCGTTACGCTTTATCGGTCACACCCTTATTCCAATATCACAATCTATCAATTTGTCATGTTATTCTTTATTACATCTCATGGATAAACAACCAACATCTCGTTCATTGATTCCATTATACAATTAACGAACAACACATTCCTTAATAAGCATAAGAGTTATCTTTAGAAACAATTACCATTTGTTCTCTACAATATTCTTTACTTCTCTACAATTAACACCCACTCTTTATATTCACTTATATAAGGCAATTGGTATCCTACACTTCCCAAAACTTTATTAATTCAATTTTCAACAATCACTTTTCCCAAACATAACCCTCACATACCAATATTATTCTCACAACAATTAAGTCTCATTACTTATACTCATCTTAACCAATCATACGCTAAATTTCAAGAATTTAAAATCAATTGAAATAGGTACTCATTTTTTTTTAAAAAAAAAAAATAAGTCCATAACTAGGGTTAAACAAAATGTAGGGCTTTCTACTTTGAGGCACAAAATCATGTTCTAACTACTCAAAACTTCCTTAATCCAACTCAATCTTACATTTAACTCACTGATTTAGAAAACCCTAACTTCCTTTTTATGCCTTTAAGAAAATATCTTTAACAAGAGGTTTTTATGCAATACACAAATTACTACCCATCTATTTATAAGAAAATATTATAAAGAAGTAAGGAATCCCTACTTCTAGCAAGAAGAGAAGAAACCCAAAATTCCAACTTGGATGAAAATGTGATCCCCTTGGATGGATAGAAAGCCCTCGGCGTGCTCTATGTTTTTAAAAAAGGAACATGGTGTAGACACCCCATTTTTGACCGACCTTAAGACTCAGACGTCATCGTTTGTGCACTCGGTGATTGCGCATGTTTGTGCTCGTTTTGGATTTTCAGAGTTTTCGGCTGATCGCCTTACCTCGGGACCTCTTAACTCTATTCTTCTTGGTTCGTTTTTGGACCATGCTTTGGTGCCTTTGCCTAGAGGGAGAGAAAGGCCTGTAGGCCACTTTTTGTAGCCGTAGGCTACCTTTCCCTCTCGTAGGCCACTTGTAGTGGCCCGTAGACTAGTTTTCGGGGCTTCCGGCTGTGTGCCTTGTCTTGCGGGCTCTTGTCTTTCTTCATTTTTGGTTTGTTTTTGAACCAAACCTTGTTACCCCTTGCTTTGAGGGTGGAACAAGGGTGTAAACCAGTTTTCTCCCCTGTAGACCACTTTTGGTGGTCTGTTAGCTAGGGTGGATGGTCGGTCGACCAACCTAAGTGGTCTGCAACCTGCCACCACCTTCTCCTCTCTTTGTGGACCCTTTTTCTCCCCTGCCAACCAATTTTTTCCCTTGTCGACCACCTAAGGTGGTCGGTCGACTAGGGGGGGTGGTCGGTCGACCACTTTAAGTGGTCTGTGGCCTTTTTTCTGCTTTTGCAGATATTTTTTGTGCCAGCTGTTAAGCACAGAATGCATCCTCCCTACACATGGTAGGAAGGGATTCAAGCAAGCTTTGGCTTGCACATTCTATATAAGGGGAGCTCTCTCCTCCTTCACAAGGGTTCAGAATTTTGAGAGCAAATTTCCTTCCCTCTCTCTCTAGAATCCTCTCTCTCATCTCTTTTAGTGCTTAAAAGTGAACTTTCTTCATACTTTTGCAAAGAGACTCCTAGCCAAACACCACCATCTTTGTTGCTGACATTCTTGGAGGCTATATTTGAGGTCTAAAAGCTGGTTTTGGGCTCAAGAAGTTGTTGTTCTTGTTGTTCTTCAAGGGTGAGTCATATTCCCCCTTTTAAGCTTTATTTTGATTGCATATTGGGCCACCTTTGCATGCTCTTTTAGGCCTTACTTTCAACTACAAAAACTCTTGTTTCTGAGTGTTTGAAATGTTTGTTTGAGGCTTTGTTTGAGTTAGGGGTGGTTTACCCCCTTTGATGGCTTATTTTCCTTTGCTTTGTTCTATCTCTTAAGGCTTTTCAAACCACCTTGTTTTGGCCTTTTAACCACTGAATTCCAAAGGAATTTCAGTGGTGGAAAGTGGGTTTTGAGACCCAAAATGGATGGGGGTGGTCCCCCCCTCTTGTGTTTTGTTTGCATATGTTGTTGGCTTAACACTTTGGCATGCTTTTCTACCTTCATAAGGCTCTATCTTAGCATGTTTTAGGCCTTATTCTAACATGATATAACTCTGTTTTGGGTTAGTTTGGTTGCTTCTTACATGCTTCATGTACTTGTAGTGCAATCCTCTTAGTTAGCTTAACATGCTCTATGCTTTGGACCACCATTTTAGCATATTTTTGGCTCCACTCCAGCAGGCTTTTACTCATATTTTGGCATGCCTTAGCTCTAATTTTGGTCGACAAAGTCACCTCTTGCATGGTTTATGCACTTGTAGTGCAAGCTTGTTCACTAGCCTAGCTTATTTGGTGTTTTGGCCTATTGATCTAGCATGTGTATGCTTTACTCCAGCACATTTTTTGCTTTGATTTATGGAACTGACAAGTATGATCTGTGATACTATGTATGTGATCTGTTTGCACTAACGGATGTAATATGTAAAATTAAGCATGAACTCTGATTTCTACATATGATTTGAATAAGAATATGAATATGAATATGTTTCTGATTGAAATTTGAATATACATAAGACTCTGTTTCTAATAAGAATCCGTTTTTTATATAAACTCTGATTTCTGACTCTGTGATGGACATCATTCATTGAAACCCTTTATTTTGTTATTATTCACTGAGCTCCAGCTCACTGTATTATTAATATATGTAGGTGATCAAGCATGTGACCAAGCTTAGAGGCGTCTACCTAGAATCTATTTTTGTCAGCCAACCTATGTGCCTCCTGTGGAGGTTTCAGATATGTCAAGTGATTATGGCTATGTGACTAAGTTCAAGTTTTGTTTTCTTATTTGGTTAAACAAGTCTTTGTTATTTTGTAAATAGGGCTAAGTACCTTTTTGTCTAATCTGTATATATATGATGACGTGAGAATGATGTGTAGATATGTATATCAAAAGTTTCAAATTTTTCTACCTCATATAAGTTTGAACAGCTCAATGGACATTGTATATCTATTATTTGCTTTTGGTAGCCCATAATATTATGTTAATCTGTCTCAGAGGCCTTCGGTAATCTTAGGATTACTGGCTGGTTACAATGCTAAACCACTACAAGAAATCAAGGTTTTAAAGACAAAATTTTAGGAACAAAAATTTTTTGTCTATAAAACCTATATTTTTAAGGACAAAATAAAGGACTTTAAAAAAAGAAATACTTAATCATATTATTTTATTTTTAAAACGAAGCTATTTGGTTGCAAAAGAGTTAATGACTTTTTACGCACCTCTTTAGTTGGTTGCCAATAAACCCAACTCATACATTTTTTTATTATATTTTCACTCTTTGCACAATTATAATCGGGATTTCATTTCCTCTTCAGACCCCTCTCTCTCTCTCTCTCTCTCTCTCTCTCTCTCTCTCTCTCTCTCTCCTCCCTAATTTCGATTGAAATTCACATCCAAATGAAATCATTATAAATGCTTTGACGTCGACGACGACCTTAATCGCCGGAAAAAATGGACTCTCTTTCGCCGGCAACGGCGCTGGACTCAATCCTCCTTGAAGATTTCGGCCAAAAAGTCGATCTGACTCGAAGGATTCGAGAAGTGTTGTTGAATTACCCCGAGGGCACGACGGTGTTGAAAGAGTTGATTCAGAACGCAGACGACGCAGGAGCCACCAAGGTCTGCTTGTGCTTGGACCGTAGGGTTCATGGCACTGACTCGCTCTTGTCTGAGAAGTTGACTCAGTGGCAAGGACCTTCGTTGTTGGCTTACAACAATGCTGAGTTCACGGAGGATGATTTCGTCAGTATATCCAGGATCGGAGGGAGCACCAAGACCGGTCAAGCCTGGAAGACCGGTCGTTTTGGGTAATTTTGGCAAGTCCTTTTTGTATTGATTATACTAGAGCTATTGATTAGAGAACTGTTTTTTGAGTTGATGAGAAATGGCAGGGAAGGAGAAGGAAGAACTGGGAACAATTCAACTTAATTGAGCCAAAATATATTAGGCTTAGATTATTAGTGTTGTTGTTTCCTTTTTGTTTAATTTGATCACAAACTTGAAAACCTAAATTTGAAGTTTAGTTTAATTTATTTCATTTCTTGGTGGGTTATTTTTATTTTTTTAAAGTTTATTTTATTTCCCATAATTTCACTATGAATTTGGCTTAGAATCACAAGACGCAGAAGGGCTCGGTTTTTCTGGAAAAATCCCAAGTTCATAAATGCAGTCAATTCTTTCTTTCTTTCTTATCAATAATATAGGGAGGAAATCAGATATAAGTCAAATTCGGGGACGTGTAAGTTGTGTTAAATGACTAATGATCCGCTAGGTGAATTACGTGCTCTGACTACATCGATGAGGTGAAATTGGGCTATAATATTTATTTTTGTGCCATGGACCAGTTTTGGTGGGAAAACTAGTTAAAAACAATAGAGTTTAGTTATCTATTTAGAATATAGGATCATTTGCAATTGGGAACGTATTACAGTGCACAATGAAACAATCGTATATATAGCATAAGGGTAGTTATTGCTAATTAATAAAATAATGAGGTTTTAGTTATCTCTAGGAGGATACACTGAATTTTGAAGTTTGTCAATTGACAAAAGGTAAGTCTTACTGGTTTTTATGCAGTCCAATTCTAGTTGGGGGAATGAGAATTACCAATTGGCCTTTTGTTTACTAAAAGAAACAAATCAATTACTATTTGCCTTGAAGCACTTCTTGGAAAATGATAATGCCAGGGTAAGATGAGGCTACTACTAATCGGTTCCTAGTTATGCATAATATTGGAATTGGATTCTTAACACACTGCCCATCTGGTGGACAGTCCAGGTCTCGGATAGATCATTTTCTGGTGTTGGGGAATTGAGAGGAGCACTTTTCAAATATTGTTCAGCTTTGGTTGACCGGTGTCGGATCACTGGCCAATTTTGCTTGATAGTGGGGGCATTGCAGCAGTCTGTTGCCTTTTTGATTCAAGCATATGTGGCTGACATTAGAGGGTTTTCTGGATATGGTTTGAGGTTGGTGGGATGGGTACGTGGTGTCAGGTTTACCTAGTTATCGCTTGGCTAGAAAGTTGAAGTTGAAGTTGTTAAAGCAAGATTTCAAGTAGTGGAATAAGGAGCTATTTGGTTGTCTGGAGGGCCATAAGTCGGGGGTGTTGGCAGTGGTTTAGGAGTTAGATGATAAGAAGAGTGATGGCAGCTTGTCTGAGGAGGAGGGCAAAGGCCAGGGATGAGTTTGTTTCAATCGCCCAGATGAATCAACTATAGGCAGCGGTCTAGGTGTTTGTGGTTGCAAGAAGGGGATTGTAATACAAAGTTTTTGTCATCGTATGGCTAATGTGCACCGGAGGGTGAATTAGATCTCCAGAATTCAGGTGGATGGGGTGGAGATGACTTATGTGGCTAAGATTAGCATAGGGATAGCAGAGTTTTATAGGTGCCTTTTTCAAGGTGCGGAGAGAGTGGCATCTAGGACTTGAGGGGGTGGAGTTTGGTAGGATTTCAGAGGAGGACAAGGTGTGGTTGGAGCGACCTTTTTTAGAGGAGGAGGTGGTGGAGGCGTTGCGTGAGCTTAATGGGGATGAAGCTCTTGGTTCAAATGGTTTCACCATGGCTCTAGGGATGTGACTGCTACTCATGGTAGGGGTTTGTGGAAAGGTATTTGGTTAGGGAAGGGAGAGTTTTGGAGGTGGGTTTAGTTTCAAATAGGGAGGGGAGAACGTGTGCGGTTTTGGAAGGATAGTTGGTGTGGGAATCAAACGTTGGCACTTCAATTTCCATTGATTTATTGCATTGCGGTGGATAGGGAGGTTGTGGTGGATTTTTATTGGACACTAGCTGCTAGGCGGGTGGTTTGGGATGTTTGGCTTCGAAGAGAGGTTTATGATTCGGAAACTGATCAATTGGTGGAACTTTTGGCTTTCTTGTATGGGATTCGAGAGGTAGGGTTGGGGCTGGATTGTTTGGTATGACGGTGCAAGGGTGCTAATGGGTTTTTTTTTTTTTGTTATGTTTTTATTTTGCTTAGGTGGATGAGGTAGAGATTTCTTTTCCACGGCGGATTGTGTGGGCTGTTGGTGCTCCGTCCAAGGTAGTGTTCTTTGTGTGGATGGCCGCTCTAGAGAGAATTTTGACGATGGAAAATCCGATTAGATGTTGCCATATTTTGGTTAATTGGTGTTGTATGTGTTGTCGGGATGCAAAATCTACCTCTCATATTTCACTTCATTGTTTTATGGCAAACCAATTTTGGGGTTTGATTTTCACGATATTTGGCTTGGCTTGGCTTGGGTGCAGTAGGGGTGTGTGATGGATGTTCTGCTTAGTTGGAGGGATGGGTAAGAGGCGTTGGAAGGCTTGGGATCACGTGCCGTTTTGTTTGATGTGGCTGGTTTGGTTGGAGCGTAATCGGCGGATTTTCCAAAGGAAAGAGGTTTCTGTGCATTGCTTGTAGAATTTTTTCCTGGTGGTTTTGTATAGTTGGGTTTCGAGAAGTGTGGTTCTGGACTGATTTGCTTTTATGGATTTTATTGATTCTTTACACATCTAAATGTAGGTTGGTGTGGAGCTGGTAGTGGCCATATCTGTTAGCATCATCTTGATGCTCTTTTTCTAATAAAATGGTTACTCTTTATTTATAAAAGTTAGTGGGATGAGGCTCTATGTGTTGGAAGGCAATCTAATTTTTTTGAAGTGCTTGCTTTTTTTGTGCAATTGTCAATGAAGAGCCTATGTATTTGTAAATCTTCTAGGATAATTAACCATGGCTCATGGTGTTGGTCCAGACTAGTTCATGTCCTATTAACTTCTGGAAATTGTTGTCTATCTTACCTTCTGGTATTGGATATATATTTTGCTTTGCCTTTTCTTTTGTGTATGCGTTTTTGTGTTCTTTTTAGGTGTGTATCTAACTGTGTATTGTTGTTTTGTTTTCCAGGGTTGGCTTCAACTCGGTGTACCATATAACTGATTTGCCGTCTTTTGTAAGTGGTAAATATGTGGTAATGTTTGATCCTCAGGGTGTTTACCTTCCGAATGTCACCATGTCAAATCCTGGAAAACGGATAGAGTATGTTAAGTTGAAGTTGAAGTTCAATGTCAAAGGTTTGCACCTTTGATACATCAGCCAGCTGCCGACCTGAACCCAGTATCCAGCCCTTGGCCGTTTGCCCAATGGGGCATGGACCTTGTTGGGCAACTTCTCCAGGTAACTGGGCAGAGAAAATACTTACTGGTAGCAACAGACTACTTTACAAAATGGATAGAGGCAGAACCTCTCGCCAAAATCTGAGATGTGGACGTCAAAAATTTTATATGGAGAAACATTATCACCAGATTTGGGATTCCAAGAGCAATAGTTGCCGAAAACGGAACACAGTTCGACAGCAAACTTATCAAAAACTTTTGTGCAAAATTCAAGATCAAGAATTATTTCTCAACACCAAGTTTTCCTCAAAGCAATGGGCAAGCAGAGGCATCCAACAAAGTAATCCTGGATGGAATAAAGAAGAGGCTGCAGGCAGCAAAAGGAAAGTAAGTGGACGAACTGCCCAACGTACTTTGGGCATATCGGACTACGCCGAGAAGATCAACCAGAGAATCCCCCTTTGCCATGGCCTATGGTACAGAAGCAGTCATCCCATTGGAGATCGGCATCCCAGGGATCAGAACCCAGGGAGTAGAGAATGGCACCAATGACACACTCTTAGCCCGAGACCTGGATTTGTTAGAAGAACGAAGGGAGAAAGCTGCAATTCAACTCGCAGTATACCAGCAACAGCTTGCCAGAGCTTACAACAAGAAGGTTAATCTAAGAGATTTTCAAGTCGGCGACCTAGTACTAAGGAAAGTCGTCGGGAACAAGAAGGATCCCAGGGAGGGCAAGCTTGGCCCAAACTGGGAAGGACCCTACAGAATTACTTCAGTATTAGGCAATGGAGCTTATCGGCTTGAGGACAATGAGGGCAAAGCATTGCATACTTGTAATTTGAAATATTTCTATCATTAAGATGTGCATCATTTTTTGACCGACGTCATCAATAAAGTCTCTTCAGAATTCTTTCAACACATATGATTGATAAAGTTATGCATTGTTGTTTATCGAAAACGTAATTAATGTGAACCCAAGTCAAACTCAAGTTCACATTGGGGGCAAGGAAAGCCGAGATTATCCCTTAGTTCACTTGTTAAAATTTGTAGTAATTTACAAGTTGGAATTAAGCTGATTCCTTATCTTCACTTGTTGAAATTTGTAGCAATTTACAAGTCGAAGTTAAGCCGAGATTATTCCTTAATTCACTTGTTGAAATTTGTAGCAATTTACAAGTTGGAATTAAGCTGATTCCTTATCTTCACTTTTTGAAATTTCTAGCAATTTATAAGTCGAAGTTAAGCCGAGATTATTCCTTAATTCACTTGTTGAAATTTGTAGCAATTTACAAGTTGGAATTAAGTTGATTCCTTATCTTCACTTGTTGAAATTGGTAGCAATTTACAAGTTGAAGATAAGCCAAGGTTATTGCTTAAGTTCTCATAGCAATATGTGGGTTGCTTAAACCCTAGGGCAGATGCTTAACACTTGTTGAAATTTGTAGCAATTTACAAGTTTATGTTAAGCCGACATATGATCACCCGCTGAGGTATACAGAAAATTACAGGTTAAAGTAAAGGCTAAGTATATTGTTCATTACTTGTTGAAATTTGTAGCAATTTACAAGCAGATTAGACTAAAGATTACCATTTAATACTTGTTAAAAATTGAGAAGAAACTTGCAAAGTTTACATTCCGAAATATATGTTCTATACTTGTTGAAATTTATGAAAAGTTTGCAGGTTAGTATCTTGCCGAAGTGAAAGTTTTGTAGTTATACCCGAGGTATGTAACCCCGAGAAGATTGCACAAAGGAAGCAACATGAAGAAGCATGCAAAAAACTTCTAAATACAAGACTATGCAGAAAGCAGTCAACAGAACATCACAAGATTAAAACACCCATAGAAAAGAACAGTTGCAATTACATATTGAAGAAACCACGTCGGCCATGAGAAGAAGTTCTGCATTGTCCAAAAATTAAAAGAGTACAAAAGTGCAAAGTACATAAAAAGAAGGAAAAAGTACAAAGACAATTTTCTCAAGATTCTTCACTGTTAGCCACTGCAGGGATTGGGACCTCGGACGATTCTGGTGGAACCTCGTCGGTCACTTTTTCCGCTTGTATCTCGGCATCAATCTCTGCTAATGATTCCTCAACACTTCTTTCTATCAAGAGAAGATTGGACGAGAGCTGCCCAGTGGCAGTTTCCTTGGTTGCCTCCTTGGCCCCATCACCCTCCTCATCCAAGGTTAAGTCCATAACTTGCTCTGAAGGAGGAGGGGACTTGGCTTCGACGGCATCCTTGGGTTTTCTCACCAAGGCTTCTTCATTGCCCTCCTTATCTTCATCCTCAGCATCAGATTCTGATTCGCCTTCAGGTGGAGGTGGAGGAAATGGCAAGGGGATGGCATCAGCATTCCGAAGGGGCGAGTCAACAGGGAGATCAAGCTTCTTTATCAGGGACATCCAACCTAGGGAAAATCCGCTGTTGCATGCCTGCCTGACTTGAAGCTTATAATCTTCTGCAACGTCGGCCATACCTTGGGCGTAGGCCTTTTCATCGGCCTCTTTGACTTCGGCCTCTTTGGTGGCCAGAGCTTGTTGGAGTTCTTTCTCCGCTTGGGCCTTCTGAACCTCGGCCTCCCTTTTCTCGGCCTCAGCAACTTTTCTAACGGCCTCAGCAGATTCGGCCTTCTCAAGAGCTAAAGTTTGAACTTTAGTTGCAGCCTCGGCTTGATCCTCCAGTTTTTTCATTTTTGCTTCAAGGGACTTTATCTCTCTCTTCATGAACGATGCTTCCTTTTTCATATCAACCAACCTTTGACGATTTTCGAAAGATTGCATTGAAAATGAATGGGCATGCTGAATGGCCTGCAGAAAAACAGAAGTGTTAGACAGTACTCTCAGTAAAGAACGGAAGAAAAAATCACAAGTACAAAAAGAAATACTTACTTGAACGGAGTGTTGGAGCATGAGAGCGTAATTCTCATACTCACTAAGCTTAGCATTTCGCTCCAAGTCATTCGGAAGGAGAAGAGCAGTGCTGAGGGCGACACCAACGTTAATGTCGTCAGCACTTTCACTAGCCATAATGGGCCTATCCTCCAAGGATAGATCAGGGGCCCAAGGGACGTCGGGCTTCTTTGAAGCCGAGGTCGTCGCAGACGATGACCTTGGCCTCTTTGATTATGTAGACCCTGAGGGCTGACCCTCAGCTGACCTCTTGGTGGAAACAGAGGTTGATTTTCTGCTTTCTGCCAGCTTTGAAATAGGCACAGCATCCTCAGCTTCGGCATCTGTAGCCTTGGCCTTAGGTTGAGCCTTTTTAACTCTCTTTGGTTTGGGTGGGAGCATTGACTGCGTTGGTGCGGCTTCGGCGTCAGTTGGAAGATCGGCGAGAAGGTCTTGAACGACCGGCCTTGGACGAACCATCTCGGCAGTCTTTACAAGCCTTCGTCGACGTTTACGTTCAGGAATTGGTATTAAGTAGGGGGCCGAAGTTGATGGAAGATCGGCTGGGTCAGATGTGGACTCTTGATCTGTTCGGGATGTAGAAGCAGTTAAGGTTGTGGCTGTGGGTGGAGAAAGACTCTTCTTCCTTTTTCTTGGGACGTCGGGTAAAGTGGATTTGTATGTAGGGATGAAGTTTAGTAATACTGGGGCTTTTCGTTTATGGATTGGAAGGTTAAGAAGTGTTTTCAGATCTGTTCCTGGGAAGAAGGATTGGCGAAAATTTTTCGGTGGCTGATGAAGATCTGCAGGACAAAGAAACAGACGTCAGAAACAAAAAGTATTAAGGATTTAAATAAAAACAACTAAGTGTTGACTCAGGGCTCTTACTCTTGCCCTCTGTAATTGTTCGAGGAAGAGGGTAGAGGTGGACATCTTCATCTGGGCCAAATTCCCAATTTCCAGAAGCAATGAGAAAATCATCTCCAGCCCCCTTGTTGGAGTCTGGGAGGTCGGCTACGATTTTGTACTGAGTAGATCTCGGTTTAAGGTAATAAACGAAACCCCTATCCTTCAGGTCAAGAGGGCACATGGTATAGCAGTATTGAAGGTTGGCCAGGGTAATTCTAAGGTTCTCTTGCCTAGCTAAGGCTATAATACCATTAATCACCCTATAAGAGTTGATAGTAAGTTGCATAGGGTTTAGCTTGTAGAAATAAAGAACTTCGCGAAACAGGGGATCAAGTGGAAGCCGAAGTCCACATTCGGTGAAAGCTACTATAGGGAAGGGCATCGTATGGTCTGTGGGCATGATGGTATCACTGTCCCCACCTAGTTTAAGATGAACATCGGCTGGGATAGAGAATTCCTGCCTAAAGTATTCAAGTTTTGTTGGGGTATTTACCCTATGCCTCCACATACCCATTATGTCAATTTAAAATATGTTTCAGAAGATGGGCGTTTTTAGGAAGGGTTACAAGAACCTCGGTAAAGATCTAAGAAATGGCTGATAAGGCTTATTTCAGTTTTCCCTAAATTGGAAGGTTCTGCGCACAAATCCCAAACCTAAGAACTATAAAGACCAAGATTGAAGGCACAGATCTGGGGCAGATACAAAAAAGAGAAAACAAAGACGAAGTTTCAGATTCAAGAACAGAGGTATAGCTCTCAGAAACAATAGAGATACAGAAAAAAAAAAAAGAATCAAGAACAGTGGCAAAGAGAATGGTGAAAAAGTATAGAAGTTCAAGGTATAGCCACAAAGTCAAGATACAAATAAATCCAAGGCCTCGAACAAGATCAGTAATGGCAACAGGCAGACAAAAGCACATAAAGAGAATAGAAGAATTAAAGGAAAGGGTCTTACCAGGACAAATGAAGCCGAGGCAATGTTCGCCGAACCCAGAAACCGGTTGTAATAGCAAAGAAGGCTTCGCAAGAATGAGGGATTAAGAGCAGTTCGAGAAGAGAGATTAAAGCGATGGCAGATTCAAAGAAGAAAGAGCTTTCAAAGAGAGAAAGAGCAAGAAGACAGAATGAAAAAGTGAAGGAAAAATAGAGGCAAAGGAAAAGTTTTGTCAAAAACGTGAAACGGCGGCAAAAATAGGGCAATTATTGCGCCTAGAGCAACGCACGCGTCAGACGGCGCAGACGAACGAACAGACAGCTTTCAGGTGCGTCACTGACACGCTCCAATGAAGACAAAACACGTGAAAGAAACGGTTAGATATGCATGACAGCTCATGCGCGTGGGAGAGTACGATCGAAGCCTTGTTCTCCGAAGAGAACACATCGGCTGAAAGTGGATATCTTGGCTAATCAGTTTTTGAGCCATTACTCAGAAAAAAGGTGACAAAATATTGGAATAGGTTCCATCACCTCAGAATTCCGAGGTAATAGAACCTAGGGGGCAGTTGTGGGGATGTATTTTCTGAATACCAACACGTGACATGGTGACGCCGACGTGTCAGCCGAGGTGCCACGTGTCCTGGTAGTTAAGCCGAGATAATCTCGGAGAAGCCGAGGTTATCTCCGAAGATATCGGAATCCGAGATAAGGGACAAGAGTCCTAAGGCAAAGAGGGGACTTAACTAAGATAAGGATAAAGCTCTTAGGGAGTTTATCTTTATCTTCTAAAGAGTCCAAAGTAAGCACTAAAATTGGAGTACATAGAAGTCATAATTCAAGTGGGACTTGGAGTGAGTATATTATAAAAGAGAGGCACCCCCGTGGGTCTAAGGTATGCAATTTATGTTTTGAATATTCAGTTTAGCACTTGATTATCTTTGAGAGATATACTGACTTGATCGTCGGAGTGCCCCCGGGTGGAAGAACCACCGCCGGAGCTTTTTCTTTCTGTTGCAGGTTGCTGAAGCCATCTATTCTGCCTGTGCTCTCCAGCTGATCACTAAACGGGCGGTGTGGTCAGATTTTCACCCACACACCTAGTAGTTAGCAGCAGTTGTTGTGTTTGGGCTTGAGTTTAGTGATGATTGACTCTCTAACTATTGTTAGGTTAATGATCTATTTAATATATTATTTTTATATTTATAATTACTTTCTTATGGATTAATAAAATAAAAATAAAAATAAGTTTTTTTTAGACGGTAAAATAAAAATTTGTTGGAGATTGTGAACGTTGGTAAATTCCTTTCCAATAATGTTACATCTCCTAATTTATCAGTCATAAATGATTCATAATGATGTGACATTAAAGTTAGACTCCAGGATGTTTTACAAATTAAAATTTGACACTTGATGATTTTTAGGAATGATAAATTAGGTATCTTAAGCATTTTTTTATTGCTTCCCACTTTTTGGGACCACTTAGTTTTCTTATTTTCAAAAATAGAAAAAAAAAATCAAAATTTATATGGACCATACAGTTTTTGAAAACACTTCATTTATAAATAATTGTTTTACATTGTACTGAATTAAAAAATTGTTTTCATGCTGAAAAAACAAAATGAAGACGATACCGCTCTCAAACTTTTATTATTTTTATTTTTAAATATACAAAAGCTGAAAATGATGGTAAACAATTTTACGTTTGAACCAATGGAGAAAAATAAGGGGTTTGAATGTGATTAGACGCATTCAACAACTTCTGATATGAATATAAAAAAAAATTTGGGTGGATCAACAACCTCTGACTTGCTTAAGCATGAAGGAGGAAAAAAGTCA